TAGAGACATTCAGGCTACAACCGCGAAGACCTTTGTTTTATTTGACTTTCTGTGATAATTAGGAGTATTTGAATTACAGTACAAACTAAGATTCCCAAAAATTACACAACTTAACCAAGAAGTAATAGATGAGCACGAACAAACGTACTGTATTTGGAATTCAAGATCTAGCAGTCCACAAGTATAAAGAAATCATTAGTTCATACAAACACCACACTTTCATTTTCTCCGATGGAAATAGCAATGAAATCTGAAATTAGGATGTGTGGAACATCGTTCCATGTTCCACAATATAACATTAACATACCAATCCCTGATGAAGACTCTGAGTTCAGATAATCGTCACAATAGTGAACGCATATTGAAATATATAGTTTTCAGTTAACAAGTATTTCGTAATCTCATTCACTGTCCATGGTTGTTAATCAAATAAATTCTTTATGATTTTGGATATCGGACTTTTGATTTATCAGTAATCATGTTGTTACACTGATTCTGACAAAGGTAGCATACTTAGTGATAGTTCTTTCTGATAGTTGATCCTTCACTAAACGGATGATTAAAAGTAGAGCAAAATAGTTAAATAATAGGTGATGAACTTCTAGGAAATTCAGAATAGTTACAACTCTAAATTACACCTAAGTCATTTTAGATCGGTACTGTTAGCGATAGAATAGTTTTATGTTGTTTAAATGAATAGTTAGCTACTTTGTTGAAGTCTGAAATTTTGAATATCAAACGTTATTTGGAAGGCACTGTTAGGACTTCCATTTAATTTGAAGGTGAGTGAATTTTCTTTAGATTTGATCGTTTTATAAGTTTTCATAGGTGAGAATAGATAAAAGTTGAATGATAAATTTCGCATCCCTAAGGAAGGCTTAAACTAGAGAGCAAAAAATATTCCCACTATTTCATTTTAATTTACGAATTATGTAGTATATGAGCAGAAAAGTAGTCTCCTCAAACTCCTTTGAATAATAATGTTCAACCAACAAACTCCTACAGTTTAACTCTTAATAACACTAGTGGTATTATTTATTCAAACCACCAATCTCATCCTCTTTACTCGATTTATCTACAAAACTATCTAAAAATATAATATACCGAGTGTTGTGCCATTTTTTTTCCAATTGACCTACGTAAAACTTAGGAACATAATCCGACAGGTTGATCAGTATTTGAGTGATTGCAGATTAATAGTCACTTACTTACGCCTGTTACTCCTTTGCAGACCATAGGCCACCGACCAAAAATCCTCAACCTATTCTGTTCTAAGCTCTCCTTCACATTTGTTCCCAAGCTCTATACACTCTTTTCATGGTTGCCTTTGATTCCCCGCGCAACATATTCCTTGGTCTTCACCTTTTACCTTGAGGATTCTAAGTCGTGGCTTGCCTCGTGATGATTTTCAATAGGTCTGACCTATCCACCTCAGCTATTGAAAACCTAGAACTGAACGACCCTTTCATCCTAGTATGGAACTTCTTAGCAGCATGCATCCACGACTTCGACACAATGAATCGAACCCAGGAACTTCGGTCCTGCTTTTGAAGATCTAATTTCTAGACTACAGAATAGAAAGGTGTTTACATATATATATATATATATATATATATCGATGATTTGATGCGATTGTGAAATAGAACCTTATTCAAATACAGATACTTTTTGTCCAGAATTTACTTCATTTTAGCATGAAATATATTTATTTCGTAGTTTTCACACTGTGCAAACATGTGAATAAATCGTTAAAAATCGAGTATTACTCATTAACGCTAAGATATCGCGACTACTCGTCTAATATAGTAGTATATTATGTATATGATAAAATTCTACGAGTACATATTGTAAAGAGTATTAACATTATAGAACAATTATCTTGACAGATTATCTTTGTAGTTGACATTTTTGCATAGAGATAGGCATTTAGTGTGAAGATATTTCTGGATGACCAGTAGTTTCCCATATTCTTTTAAATAGAAAGAGTTGGTTTTATCGGGGGATAGGTAGCCGCATAACTAGATTTTTCGTTCTCGTGAAAACATAAAAAGCATTTCGATAAAGGATCCCAAAGAGCTACACCGATATGACTGTACCTTTTGCAAAGTTTTAACTTGTGGTAAACTTCACTTCCAAAAGTCTTGTGTATTTCGTTTCGATACTGGGAATTACCGGGAACAAACTTCCAAAACGAGGATTTTGTGAAGTGCTAAATGGAGACGACAGTTCTCCATAGATGCCTTGAGTTAGTAGTGAGTGAAATGGAACCGTCAGTACAATGTTCGGAGATTTAAAAGCACTGAAGTAGAGTTATCTTTGTCAGCTTCCAAAGAAGATTCTGACTCTTCACTTAACGATTTGATGACTGCATTTTCTAATCTCAATAGAGGGATGAAAATCCAGCCTGTAGAGCTTCAATTACAGAGAAATCTAGTCATTCTAAAAAAACGAATAATCGGTTGTGATTTTCGACAAGCAGTACACAATGCATTGAATGCTTTGGGTGATAAAAGAATAACTGACTCAGTTCAATTTTCATCTTTGGGTACTTCTATTGTTACGCCTTTGAAGTATGATGGTAAAACCCCTAGAATATACGGTGATTACAGATTAAAGTTGAATTGCCGTTTGGTGAAGCAAGCGTGAACCACGGCTTATACTGAAGATGCTCTTGACGATTCGAAAGTTGGTTTAAAAGATGGCTTTAGTCAGATTCCTTAGATAAATCTGCACCATTTTTGACAAGGATTAATATACCATTGGATTGATTCACACACATTTACCTTCCATTTAATTTGTGTTGTTCTACGTTTATTTTTTAATAAATGATGAATAGTATAATATCCAGAACAGATTTACTAGAAAAATTCAACGTGTAGACTAAATATCTTGACAGTCACTATGAGATTAACCTGTGGATACTTCTAACTATGTGCTAGTGCAGTCTTTACTGGTAAATTGTTTATAATTGCTTATTGAAACCCATTGATACATTGGATGAATTTTAAGTGCTACACGAGAAGGTTAAAATGCAGTTATATGTCTCACAACAGTTCTGAAAGATGTCATAAATCGAAAAATCAACCTTTAAAGTGGACCACATGGTCGGTCTTCTAAGGCCTGGGAGATTATAGCGGTCTATTCTTCAGAAAATAATATCAACTTATTATCATTGATTCTTCTTTAATTGCCCTGAAGTAGTTTTCATGACTTACCCAAACACTGAGGAAAGTATTTAGACAGGAAGGCTTCTGTAGGGTAATGGTTCACATTTCACTGAAGATGCGGTTACTACACCGTTGAAAGGTATAGGGTGCAAACATCTATTCACTGCTCCTGGGTGCTCTTGTTCTAATATTAGGGTAGAAAAGTTCGTCAAGTCGTTGAAGACTGTTATTAATTTTATTGCTGCTACAATGTCTGATGAACTGGAGAGGAAAGTGAGCACATTCCGGATACATTATAGAAGTGCTAAGCACTCTGTAACAGAATAGATTCCAACTAAACTAATTAAAAGACGGGTTTTTCACTTAAATATAGGATGCTCATGGTCTACAGAAGTTACATATTATTGTGGGAACTATTTTTGGCCATCTATAAGGATTCTAGTAGACAATATTAGAAAATTTATGATGCGAATTCCAGATGGCGATTTAAGTTAGCACAACCAACATTTAGACATAGTACGACTCCAGGAACTAGGTAGTTCTAGTCCAATTTCCGTCGTTAGTCCTAATTCATATATTATAGATAATACGAAATCCGTATCCTGTACAGAGTCGGACAGACATCAAATGAACCCACGGAAAAGACGTGCAATAAACGACAAAAATCCGGATCTTTGCTTAAGCTGTGACGAATGTGGTGTTTGCGCTAGTTGGTAATTGCTTTGTTTATCATTACGCATCTAATTCCAATCCCAAACAAAATACCTTCAAGTCTGTCCATTGTATTCTTTCTGGCTTGATTACTGGTTTATTTGTAACTACTAGACTATGTACTAAACAGTTCTGGGAATTACTAACAAATATATGAAATCCAATTATCCTGATTTTCATATGTAAATGGTAAGTTACCACTTGAGATGAAATCTTTAATAAAAAAATCAACTCTAATATGCACTACTCACTCACCAATGGAACAAAAAAGATGCCTAAAAGTATTGGATACATACTTAACGAACATGGAAAACAATGCGGATAACCTCAGCCTATAGACCTCATGTCCATACGGGTTACTTTATTGTCTGATGTGGTGAGTAACATGTAACCCTAATGACTGAACCTCGAAATTGTCACTACAAGTCTCCATTATCAGATTGTTTTAATCTCACGCCTTTATTATTGCTCACTGTTATCGACTTTTTGAATTTAATTGTATCTTATATGTGTACTGAGTCATTACTTACTTTTTCTACTGTTCACCTGTTTCCCTGAATTCCTTGCACTCATTGTTCTACAAATCCCTGGGGACTCAACATATCTCCAGTCTAGATATGAACCGTTACAAATTTATATCTCATGAAGGGATTTACTCTTAGAGCGATTCCAGACATCCGATCGATTTGAACATCAAAGATATACACACATACACAAAACTTCTCTTATGGTACTGAGTAGTAATTTCAGTTAAAAATTATGACTAGTATTGAGAATAATAATCAAAATTTAAAGTAATTAACATTAGAACTTGGAGGATACTTCTTTGTAAAATGTACCAAGAGAAACATGGAACAGTTTTGTTTTTAAGTTTCTATGCCAAAAATTGCTTCGTCTGTTGTCAACATTCATTAGTCACGACTATATTCATCAATAAAATTTAATATCTTTAATAATTCTTTATAATCTTCAGTGAAAAGCTTATATGATTCAGGTGATTGTTGAATATATTCTACTGTATTCGACGTATAATTATGAATATGTATTTTATTCCAATCCTCCGGTTCCATTGAACTGGTTGTATCAATTAAAATCAACCTTCTTAATAGATGCTTACAAAATTTACAAAATATTCGATATATAATTACGACATTTTCCCAATACAATAATTGTGAGAATAGTGTAGAAAAATGTATTAAATATAAGTGTACTTAAATCCCATGACTGTGATCGAACCATTGGTATAATGGGTAATGTTGGCTAAATGAAAAAAAACGGAAAGAGTGGTTTGAATTAATGAAAACTCTTACCTCAGATAAATTCTTTCGATGTTGTGTTCTCTAAGCTAGATGGTATTATTGTGAAGCTTATATTCTCATTCTAGACAACATTGTCAGCGCTTACTTCATGTAGAAGTGAACTTTTTAATTATTCCACGAGTTTTAAATCAGTTTGTTCTGTTAGAGTTGAGTGTGAGTGGTTATCCTCATAGGTTTCATTATCACCAACTGCCTTTGTAATCAAGGTGACTATTTTATTTTGTTAACCTTCGATCAGGTTATTTCTGGGCCTTTTCCGAATGGGTTGATAGGTCGGATTTGACTGTTGACTGATTTGAATGTCATACTTCTATAAATTCTCACTTCTACATAGAGTAATGATAATGTTGTTCAGAACGACAATGAAAGCTCAGCAATTAAACGATATAACTCGTAAAACTTAACAACATCGAAAGAAAAAAACATAGGGACAAAAATCAGTAAAAAAACAAACTGAATAAATAGTCTGTTATTATCCACAAGTGTCTGTTATGAATATGCCCAGTCTAGGGTAGCCTGATATCCTGAATGGAGAACACAAATATATACTATAAATAAGGACTTGAAGTACAATGTTTACTGAGAATTCCACTTCAGAATACAATCTTACATACAATAAAATGTGACTGAAATTTCTGGATGCAATTCAATTAATGAATATAAAAAGGGTTTGGAATTAAATTCAGTTATTAAAAGTACAAATAATTTATTTGAACTCCATATAAATAGTTAAGGTTTTGTTGCAAAGATAAATTAAAAATTTATGATGTTAAATTACTAATACTTGTTATCAGAAGGGGTTTGTGGAGATTTTAGAAATTTCACAGATTGAAATCATGAGTCAGTTGAATCTAGACCACCATGAAAAACCTGGAAGCAGTGGACGGGCGTCTCGTTCTAGTATGGGGCTCCTCAGCAGTGCGCATCCATGATCCCACACCCCGCGAGATTCGAACCCAGGACCTATCAGTCTCGCGCCAGGCGCTTAACTAACTAGAATACTGAGCCGGCATCCAATGGTTTTAATGTTTAACTTCAACCAATCCACGAAGTTGCGCCACCGTACACCATTGTCTTCAGTGAGCCGACGAAACGGCCGTCCAGTGCTTCCAGGTTTTCCGTGGTGGTCTAGCTTCAATTGACTCATGATTTCAATCTGTGTACTACTTGTTTGATAAAGAGTAAAATTTTGCAATCAATGAAATGAATAGGCTTTATAATTCATTTATTAATAAGAATTAGCAACTGTCTAGTTTTATACTAGTATTTATACTGACAGACCGCCGAATAGTAATCAGTGAGTTCTTTATCTAATTCTTATTACTGATTAAATTCTACCAATCTTGTTGTAATATACTATTTAGTATAATTGACTCGATATTCGGTGATGTGTTTTGATTTTGTGTGATTGGAACTAATGGGTTACGATGTTGTGATCCAAAGAGCTCAATGTTAATGTACTTTACTGTATGACTCTGGGTGATACAGGTATGAATCCGGTGAAGAGGATCAATTCCTATATGATTGTAGACTTGTCTTACTGACGAGTGTTTACTAGCACAAAAGCGATACTTTTGGGTTCCAGTCTTAAGTAAAAATCTATATATTTTGGGTAATATATGACTCACTTCAGGATCCCATGACAGATTATCTTCTGGTCCACCTTTCAATTTAACAAGAGCGTCTATTTCTGCTTGCTCTTCAACTGTTTTCATTTTAAACTACGATAAACTTGTATAATAAAATTAAAGAATGTGTAATATATTGTTCATAAATATTTCAATTGAGTAATAATTAGTATACGAACGTTTGTAGAGATTGTAATATTTTCGCGGTTTACATCACGTGTCATTCTTAGCTACGTCGTTACTGAAAATCTGGAGACCCTAAACAACCATTTCATCCTACTATGGGACTACGTAGCAGTGCGTATGCATAAACCCACTGTCAGAGATCAAACCTAAGACCTCGGGCCTGTACTTAAACACTTAGCCTCTAGACCATTGAATAAGAATACAGCAATGTTGATGTTCAACTCTATTCGATTCACGATATTGCGCAACCTTCATTCATTGCCTGTGGCGGATAACTGTTTCACATCCAACATATCTGAACTCCACTGGTCATTGCTTATCATCAGAACTGCAAGAATTGCATTTTGAAGCTAGCCACTAATGAGCACATAATTACCACTAGTAAATAAGGTTTTGTGAAGATTGCGGAAATTTCATAGTCTAAATCATGAACTGATCAGTTAACAAAAAGAGTTCAGAAAATAGAATGGTAAAGAAAGAAGCCGAATAAAGTTTTTACAAACACAGATCATTTTTATACGGGAGTTGGTGATTTGATGAGTGAACTTTGCAACTGTTTAAATGGATGCTAATCAATAGGTAGATATGCAGTGATACGAAGGGAAGTGCAGTCAAGTGGTGACTATTCACCAGACCGTATTATTGGCAAACGCCCTTTAGGATGATTTGAGACAAAAGACAAAACTATCAGTCAGAAGAAAAAATGTTTATGTAGCAAAATGGTATCCCTTTATTCAAATACTGACCGAAAATAAACACGATAAAGCGTCATGGACGACTGGAGAAAATCACTTTTGTAGGTTACTTACTCCCCAATCAATTAAGATTTGACTGTTGGAGCCCACATCTTGGACATCGTAACAACAGTTGTAGAAACAAAATTAATAATAATAATAATAATAATAATAATAATAATAATAATAATAGCCATAAATACTTATTTCAGGTTAGTATGAATGCCGTGTCCATGAACGAATTCTAAAATCTAATGATTAATTTACATGCAAAACAGCCGAAATCAATAAACAAGACATCATTTACTCAAAAGTACGTTTATATTGATGGGAAACAAGATAAAGGAAACTAAAATAATCGAACTGTGAAGTGCTTAAGAGTTAGTTATGTAGTCAAGAGCATAATCGAAAAGAAAGTAAGTGAATAAACAAAAAATTATAAATGATTGATCATTGAATAGTAACCAGTTCCATATTTTCAATCCTTTCTTTAGTGTCCATCAAATACTATCGATCAACTTGCAACGTGGATACTAGTCTAAGTCACTTGAAATTGCGAGTAGTAAAATGTTATGTTAGCTGGTTGGACGTAATCGACAGAAAATCCGGGGCATTGACTTCGTGAAACGTTTCAGCAAGGCGTATCTGCAATCTCACTGGAAATAGTGCTCACTGTAGGATATGAACATGCGTCACCCAGCTTCACAGTTTGAGACGTTACCATCGAGGCATACATGCCGTGGCTGACCAACATATATGACAGATATTTACACCTAATTAATTATTGAGTAGTAGCTATCCCAATTAGCACGAAACTTATATCCAAAGTATCCTGACAACTACCTCCAACCTCTTATCAGATAAAATTACAGCACATAATAAGAGTCAGGAGATGGTGTATACTTCTGTTCAGGATGACTATCATCGAGAACGAGTTAATTGTCACCTTTTGGAAATACACAGTCTCAGAGAGCGACGTGCATGATTACAGACTGAGGAAGAAGTAAGTGAAGGTATAAGAATGAATTAACACTTGGTAATAGAACAATTTGCATAAAAGTTATTGTTCCTTTCGAATATATTATTAAGACTCTTGTAGCTACAAATTCCCTCTTTTATCTCCTCGATTTCTCGGTGTTCGTTTAAACTTTTTCTGGCATTATTAGATAGTTGCCCCTTTATACTATCGAGTAGTGTTGCAATTTGAATTGCAATAATTCCGTTAAAACTATCATGTTCTTCTATCTTGTGAATCCTCCTGTGAATGTGTTTATCAAGGCGCATAAACATGTCACGGGATGCCGTAATTCGTAGGGCTTCATTGCTATACCAATCGAATTATAGGAACTATTCTGATAAATTTTCATGAGGAAAGTATACAGATAGTAGACGTTAAGTTTGGATTTTTATGCTCAGATTACAAACTGCGAATAATATACGATACGGACCATTGATTTTGTTCTTCGACAGTGGTGTGATAGTGTTTATGGTTACACTTTGTCAACATATTATTTCCACTTTAATGTTGCGTTAGCCTTAAAACCCTTATGAAGATTATACTCGAGATAATGGAAAATTTTTGATAAATTTGCTAGAGGCGCGACACGCATGTCTTATTACAAGCTGTTATGTTAAAAATGACTATAAATACGATCATACAGATGTAATGAATAGAATTGTGAAGGAAAAAACTTCGTCACTGAACTGCCTTTATTCTGCTGAATGACTCAATCGGCTTCTTTTGTCATCCATCTAGCATTTATGAAGAGTATCTTTCAAAATTCTGAAGGCCACTATGATTTTGTAATGGCTACTGAGTCGACTTACCTATGGCCGTTATGTGAGGAAAATAATTAGTGAATACCATTTGTGTAATGAAAAAAGTCTCTTATCAAACCGATGGCTTTGCTATTGTTATGTCCGATAGAAATGCGACCAACCACCATATAACTTTAGCTAATGAGAATTAGGGTAAATCAGTCCTGTCTTCATAATGCTTGCCGTTTGTTTCATCTAAGCTTTTATTCTCCCAAACATAGCGAGAAGTCTCCAGCATTTGAGCTCCTCGGTAAACGCTGTCATTCTACGTTTTATCGTCTTCACATTGTCGCGGAGCTAACTCCAAACGACCACCTTGTATTTCTCAAATGGGAATCCCTGAGAGCTACGCTCAATGAGTAAAGACTCCGAACAGATGTAACGACTCAATCATGGATCAGAAACTTGTAGTAATCAATGTTGAATGTACAGAGATACTGGTAAGATGCACCTAGGTTGTAGTCTTCATGGTCTTTATGGAAGCTGTAGATATACTTAAAGAGCTATTTTTCAGTACTTTGCTTCTATAAACAGCCTTTAACGTTTCATAACTTTTCCGAGTTTTTTTTACAGGTTTTGTTTAAAATTTAATGTTGAGTGATCAGTGTATTTACTGGACAGACTAGCAGACATAATCTCTCAAAATTTAATGCTTCCATTGATAACACTAACACAGAACATACTCAATTACCGTTTAAAGTATTATTATTAATACTTCACACGATAAATGAGTACTTGTTTAACACATTTGATCAGTTAGAAAAAGGAGTTTAAATCTGTCAGACTATTTCAAGATTACTTTTATATATAAAAAAATTAATTAAAACATCATACAACATGATAGATCAGTTTGTCAAAATCCACATCCTACTATCGCTAATATAAAAGTGTTGTGCTAATTATTTTCCCGTTTTACGAATAGAAACACATCACGACTAATTTTGTAAGACAAAATAAAACAGTTATTTTAAGATTTCAACAATAACATGAACATGATAAATGTTTAGGTGGTTTCTAGTATATGGGTTGTGGAGATTATTAAGTTTTTGACTGAGATCATGAGCCGATTGATGTTAGACCACCTTTGGAAACCTGGAAGCACTGGACGGCCGTTTTGTCCTACTGTGGGACTCCTCAGCAGTGCGCATCCACGATCTCGCTCGCGAAATTTCGTGGATCGGTTGATGTTAGACACTATCACCATTGGATTCCGGCTCAGTGGTCCAATAGGTTAAGCGTTCGCGAGCGAGTCTGAAGGCCATGGGTTAGAATCTCGCGAGCGGGATCGTAGGTGTGCACTGGTTAGGTGGTTTGTTGATGTGTTGATAGAAACGATCCAGATGTAAAAAGTTAAAGAACATATTAATTACACTGTCCAGTAAATACATTAATCAACATCAGAAATGCTTACTTAATCTGATATCAACAGAATAATGAAGAACATACCAATTTCAAAAAGAACAAATCAATAATTAACAAGCGCTATACTACTATTGATCACTTTATTTAAATTATTTTTATAGCATTAGACGGGGGCTTTACTTTGTAACTTCGACAAAATCTGTTTCTGTTTATCTTTTCATAAATCATGCAGCAGAAAATAAGACAAAGCGTAATTACTGGTCACTGAATATCGACTGATATCATTCTCCTAATCTAATAGATTTAAAATCAAATTAACATCATTGAAACTCGTCTGTCAAGCATCATGACAATTTCTTCTAATAGGACTGATACTTAGTAACTTTTGTCGGTACATATTAATTGGTAGGTTCGGTGTTTAATATAACTGACTGATATGACAGTCAGACACCGATAGCCCAAATGTGTACATAGATATCATTACTACTGGAATAAATGTTTGAATTTCGACTAAACTTTCATATAGCAAGTCGACACTGTATTTTGAAGGGGGCTGATATCGAAAAGTTGATATAGGCTAACCTAAATCAACAGGACATCAATTACCCATTCACTTTTCTCAAATATATGTATTTCACTAGATGAAACAAAGATGAATGATGTTTAAAAGTACAGTCATTTCTGACCTGCAATATATTTGATGACGTTCACGATTTTAGCAGAGTCAGTCCGTCATCAACAACGTAGAACCTCGTACGTACGTACGTACGTACATCAGTTCGAGTTGCTATACCAAATTTGCACAGAAATGCAGTTGTCGATTCAAATCCCATAATGGTAGAGGTAGTGAAAGTATAAACAGTGATCGGAAAGATTAAGGTTCGAAGACGTTATTCATGAGTATAATCCAGTGAAATAAATTTGGAAAGAGAAAAAAGAAAGGGACACGAAGAACTCAGAAGATTAGAATTTAGGAGAGCACAAAGA